TTGTGTGTATATATATATATATATATGTGTGTGTGTGTGTGTATGTATATCCCTCTCGTGCGCATAACAAAATTTAGTCGATCCATGACATTTGAATTAGTTTCCATTTTGCAATAATCGAAGCCATCACATTCCTAATGCTTTTGTCTCATGCGTTTTTTTGGTGGCATACTTTGTGACTATAAAAAGAAATACAAATTATAAACTATGATCAAAGCCATCACATGTGTTATTTTACTAATTTAACATTTAAATAGGAAAGTATTTAGCTGATTTTTTCCTACTATATTTGCATTACGTTTTATAGATATTTTTTATCTTATAATAAAAATATTTATTAATATTTTATATTTTAAAATTGGAAAGATAAGCATGAATTTATCCCCAAATTTACCTGTTTTAGCTAAGATGCTATAAATTTATTAATTAGGAATATAAGGTGCATGCATCTGATTTTACCTATTTTGCTCAGAGTTTTATAATATTAATATCTGTGTTTCACATAAACATTTAATAAAACCATAATAAATGTTTACAAATAAATTGAAATGAAGTATTATTTTATTATAATACTCGGGATATTTTTGGAAAAATATCTTGGACTTTTTTTGGAAAAATATCTTAGATATTATCTGTTGAAAAATAACTCGACAACATTATGATACATATATGGTATTATGGTTGGGATTTTGAGGACATATTTGCCAAACCAACACCGGCTCAAAAAAAACTAATATAATTTTATAAGCATTTCCCTTTCTATCCTCTTGTTTTTTTTGTTTTTTTTTGTCAAAATAAAGTGAAGTTTTATTTTTTTTTCGTTTTAAAGAAGAGAGAGAAAATATATAAAAAAACAAAAGATAAATATTTGGAATATGTAGAGATGTCGTCATGGTTCCTAAGCCCTAGCCCGGCCCGCAGATTTGCAGCCGGCCCACGACTTAAATAATTTGTAAAAACAAAATTCAAAAAGTTTATTTTTTCCCCAAACAGTTAAAACTTTTTTTAAAAATTCCCACGAAGGATACATTTGTCCACAAATTTATTTCTGTCCGCTCAGAATTATAATCTGAGCGTCAAATACACTATATTTGATTATCCAATTCCCATTCTCATTGAGTCGAATTCTTATACAATGAATATTAACAGCCCAACGGTTGGGGTATACCCATTATTTGAATACAAGATTCTGTGTCGTTGGAATCAAATCAAAGCCCTCGATCTCATAGATCATAATCGTCGATTCTAATGACTGAATCTTCATCCTTCAATCAATCCAGATTGAATCATATATAAAGAAAACAAATGGATATAAAATTCCTACAGCCGAAAAATCCAAAACGATATGATTATGAATATCATTGGGAAAAAATAGATAAAACTGAAAGATTGTTAAGAAAATGAATATTTTTATAAATAAAAATCGAATCCAAACAAAAACGAAAGTGAACTGAATCCCACTAAAAATTTGAATAGATAATTTTTAAACCGAATTCGAATCTAAATCCTAAATATCCACTGGTTGGGGTATTATGGCCTCAAAGCAATGATGAGCATGTGAATCTTTCCGGGAACAATCCGTTGGGGAATTGCTTCTGGTAGCGTCTTCATGTCCGAAACATAAACATTAGATTCTTCAAGTCCCCAATCTGTAGGAACTAGCAAGTTCCCAGGGACGAGGAAAAAGTAAAATATTGCCAACAAACCACAAAAAAAAAAAAAAAAAAATGAATGGCGCACCAAGATTGCAAGAGTAACTTCTTATTCTCATTTACATCCACAATTAGCAGTCCATATTGCAAATGATGATTATGTCAGGTCATGTAAAAGGAATATTCCAAATGCCAAAGTGAAAAAAAAAAATCAGAATCTTTGGAAGCCCGCCAATGATAAATTTTGAAGGGTTTGCCCAAATTAAGCGACCGGGGGACGGAGAACATGGTCCTGCGAGGTATCGACTGAAGCAGGAGGCATGAACTGCCACATTGCGAAACCCGGATAACTCGGGAACTGGACGAGCTTGTTTCCGGGAGCCTGGACTTGAGGAACTGCTTGAGGGTTTGGTAAGAAAATGGGCTGAGGTTGATGATGATGATGAGCCTTCACCATCTTCAGCTGCTGCTCGAGCTTCTCCTTCTCTGTTTTCAGCTTCTGCTTCTCATCTCGCAGCTCGTGTTTTTCCTCCTATATATAACACAGAACAGATCATATCGTTGCATGCTAATTGAGATCAAAGCCTTCGCCAAACAATGAGCAACAATGCAAGCTGGTTGGGTTTTACCTTCAACTCCTTGATTTTCTCCTGCAGGCTTGAATTCAATTCCTTAAACTTCTGTGCTTCGACACGTAACTCATTCACCATTCGAACTGCATCCATAAGAATGGTGGGTTTGTCTGTTTTCGAAGGCCTTCCATGCTCCAAGATGGAACTCAATTCCATAAACCTAATTATATGCCAGGCTTGTATGATTAACATCTCAAAGAGAAGAATGTGTGTGCGCGCACGCGTGTGTGTGTGAGAGAGAGAGAGAGAGAGAGGAGAAAGAAGGACAATACTTGTCATTTAACCGATCACGCCTCTGTTTCTCTCTGCATGCTTTCGAGTTAGAGCCAGTGCAAGATTCAGACTTAAGCCTGCAGCAATACAGGCATTTGCAAGAAATTTGTTAATTGCTCATAATCAGTCCAACATTGAGATATAAATGCCTCTCTGACCAGGCAGAGAAGAGAAGTTAACACAGATTTTTGTTTATGTTCTTTTCTACCTAAATCCTATATCTAATCGGTCTGTCATTCTAATATCGAGGTTTCACTAAAAATAGACATTTCTAATTTTGTTTCAACCTGCTGCACAATTAGCTAGACCCGCAGACAGCAATCAAAACAAGTCAGAGAGTGATAATAATAAGAATACTAAGCAATGGTTCATACCTCTTTCTAGAGGCTGGTTCATTTAACCCATCCAAATCACCGAGGAAGCCATCAATCTCAGCACTGTGAACAGAAAAGATAAAAAAAGCCCAGAGAAATCAAACAACCGCATCAAATCCACAAGTAGAAGATGACATCACAGTCCACGCACCATTGAAGTAACCCAAAGTCCTTTGTCAAAAACAACCAAGAACAGATCTTAAAACCGATGAAAGGAAACTGCTTCTGAGGGTGGACAGCCATTTAAACGTCCAAACGGATTGCAAACACTCGAGTGTTCGATAAACAACTTGGAAACAGAAACAGAGCAATACATTCGTGTTTCAAATTCTAAGTTCACTAGAACAGATTCTGGATTTGGTTTCTTTCTCCACAAGCATGGGTGGAAACTAGGAAACAGTCAATTGGGTATTTTCCTCTGATAGCTGAAGACAATTACTTAATGCCTAAGGAACTACAGCCAGCAAACACATTCAAACAACAATCATCAGCCTGTTGACTTCATCTCTTGAATTTCCGTCAACCAAACCAGAAAATCGAGGATGCTCACTACTAATCTCCATGACAAACAACGTCTCTAACGCAAACTTCAATCCAATCACTCGGAAGATCATAATTCTTTCCAGAATTGGTTCAGAAGGTGAAAGCTTGCAGGACGATATCACTCAGAACAGAATTCTAACATGATTCCTACGGATGATAAACCATCGAGCTCTATCACAAGCTATTCTAAAGATATGACAAACCCTAGAAAACCATAACAAACGAGAACCACTGAATCGAGTTCAAAAGAGAAACAGAGAAAGTTGCATGAATCGAGTTCAAGAGAGACCTGAGACTATCGGAGCCACTGATGAGTTCGATGGGCCAAGGGACGACGGAATTGTGAACGGAGAAGTCACCGTCGACCAAGTTGTAATCGCAGAACCAATTAGGATTCTCCGGGAACACCATTGTCCGGATTTTCCGGCGATAAACAAGAATCAGTAGCGGCAGCGTGATGCGCCGCCGAGAGAGATTGAGAGTTTTCGGAGTGAAAAGGAAACCCCAGAAAAGGGAGGAGGGGAATGTGTGGAAAACGGGAAAGTGAGATAGTGTGGAGATTTGCCCAATCAGTTTCGTGCTCTTTTTCCTCTAATTTTTATGCCTTTTCTTTTAAAATAAATAATAATAAAAAAATTGGGAACATTAACATATATGCTTTCTTGTATACTATTTTTGTTAATAATGCTTTTTCGGAATACTTTCTAATAACAAAAAATAGATTATTTGAATTAAGATTTAGATTTTAGAAATTTAGATATTTATGGATATCTAAATTTAATTATATTCTTAACTTTTATAGATATTTAGGATATATAGATATTTTGCATGCATCTTTACTAGCAATGTTTACTATAGTCGATTTTTTTAGTTGTTTCTATACAATAAAATGCATCACAGTTTTAGAAAAAAAATAATATCTAGATTTTCAGATGATGAAAAAAAATTGATCTTTGTTCTAACTCACCTCGGACCTAGAAACCATGCAGATGTTTCTCATTTTCTATTTTATGGTAATTATTGCTATTCAAATGAATTGAATAAATAATATAAACTTTTTAGAATTTTAAATATAGTAAAAATCTAAATTGAATAAAAATATAGTAATATAAAATTTTTGAGTTTAGTAATATATTATGTAAGGAAACTCTTGGTATTCTCTGATTTATTTTGAACTTTAAATTACCCGAGCATCTATAGTAGTATCCATTGATGACATTGACATATTTTGGATCGTATTTTGGGGGTCGTTGAAGAACTAATAAGGGAGATTGATTTGGTTAATATCAGAATGATATACAAATCAAATGGTTATATTTTCCTCAAAACACTGGAAAATCAAATCTGAATAAATAAGTAAACTGAAAAATAAAATTTTTATTAGTATAAAATTCATGATACAAGACAAACGGTTGTATATATAGGGGACGAGACACAAGAAGCGAGAATCTCTGGAATCCTAATTTTCTAATCACATGAACACCGATTGATTCAAATGCAAGAAACCCCCAAAACAAGGAAGAAGAAATCTAAGTATGAGATGCCCATTTCGGGGTTTAATCTTCATCAGCCGCTTTGGACGAACCGCCGGCCTTCTTGGGAAGAAGAAGATTATGGATGTTAGGCATCACGCCTCCGCTCGCGATTGTCACATCGCCAAGCAACTTGCTCAGCTCTTCGTCGTTCCTCACCGCTAACTGTATATGCCTCGGCACAACCCTCGTCTTCTTGTTGTCTCTCGCCGCGTTCCCAGCCAGTTCAAGCACCTGCAACCGAACCCAGTCCCCAAATTCTATTAACAAATGATTCTGAAACCGGAGGTTTACAAGAGGATTAGTACCTCTGCGGCTAGGTATTCGAGCACGGCGGCCAAGTATACCGGAGCTCCGGCGCCGACACGTTCGGCGTACTTGCCGGCTTTCAGAAAACGCGCGATACGACCTACCGGAAACTGGAGACCGGCTTTGCTACTCCTCGACGTCGCCTTCTTCGCTGTCCCCGAGCCTAGAGTTTTTCCGCGGCCCGCCATTGGAACAGTTCGAAAAATTCAGTGTTAACTGTACGAATGATCTTCGAGGAGATGGCGTCGGGTATATATTGTGTGGGAATCGGTTTCAATCGTCTTGAACCAATGGGAAGAAGGCACAGGGATCGGTGTTGGTAACCGTTAGAATGGATTAAAATCGACGGTTGATATTCGAGATCAAGAGTCTATTCGACACGTGCGGCGGAAAGAATTGACATTGTCAATTGACTGAAATACCCTTCATGGGCTTGTCATTGCAATGGGCCTCCGAAGCCATGTATTGCTTGAATATTCTCACCTCTCGCGGTAATGGATATATATATATATATATCCGTTAACTAAAATCATTTCAAATCCTCCGCATCCAAGCTTTATACAATTAACGGTTTTTATAAAAATATTTTTAATGTTTTGTTACTAGTAAATTATTAAATATTTTAAATTTTTCATTGAAAATGATTTTGAAAGATTTTACATAAAATTTTTGGTTAACATTCAATATCTTCAGTTAAGGTCGATTCATTTAGTTAACATTCAATATTTTCATTGAAGCGATGATGACGACTTAGATGATGTCATTTTTTTTGGGTTGCAAACACAATTGTTGGACCGATTTAAATGAGTTGAATAATTGTTAAAGAAAAATAAATAATTGGTATACTTTTTTTGTTTTTTTAATTATGAAAAACTCGAATCCAATTAGCCATATGATTATTTTGTACGACGAACGCAATGTAACCACATTTTTTGTTAACAATTATTCTGTTTAACAAATGATCGATTACATAAACAACTTCTTTCGTGTTCATTAATGGTGATTATTTAATATCCATAATGGCAACTCAAGCATTTATTTAGCTCACATACAAAAACTAAGACACAAATCGCTATGATTACAAACAAATATCCTCGTAATCGAATAATAAGGCATCAATTTAACAAAATGGTACTCGAGACATATATTAATGAGAACGTTTTCAAACAAAGATATATAGTTTTATCATTAAGCCCCCAAAATGGGGTAATATTATTCTTCATTAAACTATAACCATTAACTGTAAACTTTATAAAAAAAACTACCTTCAAGTGGGTATTAATTACTATATACAGAAGTCAAGCGCCAATTATTAGGAACTAGGGTAATTCCTAGTGAGAATACGTAAATCTGTTTTTAGAAAATAATAAGAAATAAATATTTAAAAAATAAAATCACATATATATTTCAATCTATCTTTTTATTATATTTCACATTTATATTTTGATTTGTCTACATAGAATCTATCCGAATAATACAGCAACATTCGAATCAAAATCTATCTAAAAAATAATCGAATGTAATTTTTTTAAATCAAATTAATTGAACCAAAATGAAAAATGAAAATAATTGAAAAAAAAACAAACGGAATAAAAATCTTGATAGAAAATAAAAATTCATTAATTAAAAGTGGTTTCGAACAGCAATCGAATAAAATATTAAATGTTGGAAAGCCAATATAAAAATTGAAGATGCCCAATTAAAAATGAATAATAAAGATCGAACAAAAAATAAACGAAATAAGATATAATCGAATACTAAATCCGAAACATCGATCTTACCTTATACTCACTAATCACCCTCGGCCATTCATATAACAATTACTGCACATTAATTGCAATTAAATAGTTCGATTTGATTCGCAATTTAAAATTGTTACAATCATGACATCTGACAAATTCTTGCACAAGGACATAAGAATCCGACATAGGAATAGAGATGGGTCCTCACTCCTACTTTATAATATAGTAATAAATATGCCCAATAATTTGTCACGCGACAAAATATTATTTTTCACGATTAGATATCGAAACTATTAACTTTTTTCCTTTATCATTTTTTCATTTTGCATTTGCTTAATTTCACGTCAAACAAATATGAAATCCATACTTTTCGTACGAAATCTTAATAATATTCCCCTAATGTACACCAACCATGGACAATCAAATATTTATCTGTTAATCATTATGTAATAATCGAATTCACATGGCCCAATGAAACCATTAAACTGTATCATTGGTTTTGTCTTTCAATTTTATAAATAATTCGGTACCATTATCAAATCAAATATTTTGGCATAGTAATTTTGACAAATGATTATCACAATTACCAAGCACAAAGTTTTATTAATATAACTTCATGAGTTACAGAAAATTAGTAAAATAAAAGCAGCACCACACCGTCAATTTATACCAAACCACTTGGAGCATACTCTGAATAGATTCAAGGGTTCATCTGTTTCTTTATTTAAAAAAAAAAGCAAATTTATTACATACTTCATCTTTTCTAAAATAATTATAAAAACTACCATTTAGTTATAAATTTATTGAATCTAATACAATATTATGAATAAAATATTGACCCCCGTATGCTAGGACATATATTTTATTTTTAGAATCTAATTTTAACAAATAAACATGTTTTTTTTGCTATGCTAGTCTCAGTAAATCTTATACCCTTTATTAGTTTATATTATTTTTCTTGAAAAGTGATGTTTTCAAAGTTTCCAAAATGACAAAAAAAAATAATTTAGAAGTTCATCGAGTATTCGTCTCGACTACGTCTAGAGACATATATTTTCATTTTCTTGTTTTTGATGATTTGTAATATATATATATATATATAAAAACATTTTGAAAATTGAATTGACCTTATGAGCACTCATTGACGATAAATATCTCCTCGATATCAAATCACAAATAGTAGTGTTCGGTTGCTTATGCGGAATTCATAATCAATTAATCAAATCCATAATCATATATATTTATATACACGTATATATTAACTGTGTGTGTGAAAAGTTATGTATAAATGTCAACCTAATTAAAATAATCGGGACAAATAATGATTTGATCTACAAGTGTTGGAGGGTGGGAAAGTCGGTGAAAATGGATGCACCCAAATCGTCGAATCATCTATACGATTGAATTCTCCTATCCTCTACTTACTAATTTCATGATGAATCTAGTCTTAGGTTTATTTTTTATTTTATTTTTTAAATATTTGGCAGGATATACAAAAAATCAACAAATATATTTATTTTCTGAACAAAAAAAAAACAAATTTCCTATGACAATCATACATGATTTAATATATATTTAATAATAATTTAATAAATGTCTAACAATGCTAACGTTTGTGGGGAGATCAAGATGCTACTAGAGGAGAAGGAAAGTACGGCGACGCTGTGATTGAAGGATATAAAATAATAATGAAACGAACAGCAAAGTGGTCAAAATTATATTTTATTAGATAGATGATAATAATAATAATAATAATAATAATAATAATAATAATAATAATAATAATAATAATAATAATAATAAAAGGTTTTGTCAGGTTGTGGCCAATTTAGACATTAAGACAGACTCCAATTTCATTGATATCTTCAGAGTGGAAGGCTTAGCTGGTCTCCCTTTTTTTTAACTGATTGTAAACGTCTCTGATCTTAGTGCTTCTTGACGGCGTATTATAATAATATTATATATATATATATATATATAATTTGAATATATCAAGAATAACATATAATTATATTTAAATATTATCTAATAAAAAACGGTTTGAAAATTAACTTTTTATAACTTATTGAATACTATTTGAAATATAATTACACCAAATAAAAAAACACTAAATAAAATCATTTTTTTCTTTCGAAAATATACTCGAAACCGAAATAAATTGTGAAAACAAAGGGATTGAATTCATGTTGTCTACTCATGACATATAGTATATAATCATTAGTCTGGTTTAAGGGCAGGCAAATGGTTCGTTTCCGACTTGATCGATGACTAAAACCGATATATTATATATTATGTCTGTATTATTATTTTTTTAATCATAGTATTTTATCACGTTGTACGAATCATCAAATTGAAGTCTATTTACTGTTTTGAAAGAAAAAAAAAAAGTCAGAAATAAAACCAAAGGGTCTATATATAAAAGTGAGATCACATCGAAAAACCAGTGTTCTATCTCCTATGCACCAAACATATATAACGTATACCCGAAAGACGATGATCATCAATACAAAAAGAGTGTTGAAAGATCTTGTCCGAATTCAGTTTAGACAAATCACTGTGCGGTTGACTTCGGAGGGTAAGAGAGAGAGAGAGAGAGAGATGACAGCATGAAGTGGGCGCACTGAAGAATGTTTGTACACAAGGTCTTGTGAATAACAAAATACGAGACAATAGACATGTTTAGTTGACCAAAACATAAAGAATATAGAGGTCATTGGTAGTCAGAATACGTCTCTTCACCAAGACGTCTTTGGGTTTCAACCCCCACATGTTCTTGATCGATCTGTTTATAAATTAGGGTTACAAGTAAAGTTAATTAGAATCAAACTAAACTGGATTTTAATATGTTTCTTTGTATTCTCATTGCAAACCCAGTCGAATCGATATAAACAAAAATGACAAAATGGGTTCACTTCAGTCGAACTTTTTACAAACTCGAATCCGAAATAAGTTGTGAAAACGAATGGATTGAATTCATGTTCTCTCCTCATGACATAGTATATGTTATGTCTGTATTATTATTTTTTTAACCACACACCATCAATAATAATATGAGAAAGCGCAAGTTAGAGAGAGAAAGTTCTCTCACGTCTCTCTAACACTGGTCCCCACTTGTCTTCCCACCTACCGCCCCCACCGGCCGGTTTAGCCGGCCGGAAAAGCACTATGCCGCCTCGTTTACGATCCTCATCTGCACCTCCCTCCCCTGGGATCCTCGGACCCCCCCACCCCATCACAATCTCAATCTCAATCCCTCTCCCTCTCCTTCTTCCATCTCTCTCGATGAACCTAGATCTACCGCCTTCTCCCTCAAATCTCCTAATTTTCCAGTCGACCATGCCGGCTGGCCAAGTGTAGCTGAAAGTCAGCGAGTAACTCACCCAAAAACTCAAGTCCTGGTAAAACCGGGTCAACACTCCCCCCCACCAGCTCGCCGAAGCTCTTCTTCGTGCCCACCAGCCCGGCACCAGTCAGATCTCGGAGCCGGCACTGAATCTCAGCAAATCTCAGCCGAAAGGCCAGATCTGCCTCTCTCCTCTGCTGCTCAGACTGTCTCTGGCTCGGAGAAGCAAGCCTCGGCCCCACATGGACAGCCACTGGTACCGACAGTTCTGAAATGGAGCGAGAAGCTGACGGCTAACATCTGCACCCTTAAGCCCACTGGTACTCCCAAGTTGCACACGACTGGTATACCTCTTATCCCAATACCGCTAGCATCTATCACGGATTCGGCGGAAGAGTGGAAGGAATTGTCATAGGACAATTCTATGGACTACCGCCAACGATTGGGAAAATTGCGGGCATCATAAATTCGATTTGGTGCAAGAACGGGCCCCGAATCAAAATTCAGACCATGGGAAATGGCATGTTCTTGTTCAAGATGCCAACACCGGCATCCAAGCGGCTCGCCCTGAGCAGGAAAATATGGCATGTTGGGCCATGCCCGCTATATGTCTCAGAGTGGTCACCGTTTCACGATCCAGCGAAACCCCCATTGACAAAGTTCTCCACCTGGATCTCCCTTCGAGGCATACCCCATCAGTTGTTCAATTTTGACTGCCTCAGTCGCCTGGTGACTGGCATAGGCACTCCAATTTACTTGGACAAGGCTACGGCAACAAAAGAAAACCTTACAGTGGCCCGGATATATGCCGAGGTCGATGCAACATCAAAGCTGCCGCACAAGCTCGCAGCAAGCCTCCCCACAGGTGATGAGGTAATAATTGATGTCGAGTATAGCTGGCTTCCCCCCCCCCCCCCGGG